CTTCACTGTTTTTAATTATTTGTAATCATTTCTCAAATATGATCAAATAATTTTTTTTGTGATGTGACATCATGGTGTCGGACATGTGATGATGTCACACTCACGTGTCGTGCCACACAGGTAGCGTATGCAGATTTGAGCTCCTCCCCAAACGCAGCTGACCGCAGGGAAAAGCTCCGCCCCTTTGGGGAGGTCCTGGAAGGCCACGCCCAGATAGCAGTCGTCCACCGCGTATCCCAGCGTCCCCGCGTCTGCGTCCACCACCACTAACACACGATCTGGAACACTTAAGACACCCCTGGCTCCGCCCCCAGGGTACCGCCTCCCCGCTCTCCCATCATGCCAAAGCTGATTGGTCGAGAGATCCCAGCCCCAGGAACACGAGTCTCCGCCTATTAACGCCGTGTAGCCCGAGGCCTGAAGGGTGCATTTGTGTGTGGACACACCCAGTAGGGCGTGGCTTCCTCTCTGTTGCCCCTCCCACAGCACCTCCCATATATGGAGCCCCATCGCCGTGCCGACCGCGCCACGGACCGCATCACTGCTCTGCTCCACACGGGCGCGAGAGACACGCCCACCCGACGGGCACACCTTCAGATTAGGCGACAGGTAGGTGGGGCTCCACTGCGACCGCGGGTTTCCAGGGGCGACGGGGGGCGTGTCTAAAAGCACCGCCAGGCGGATGGGCGGGGCTACAGAAAACGGACAGAATGCTGATCGGGATTTATGGTGTTGTTTAGGACCGCCGTCCTTCAGCAAGCAGCACAGTGTGAGCCCCATCCAATCAGATCGCAGGATAACATCAACTTCCTGTTCAAAGACAAAACCACCCTCGGGTCACCATACTACCACATTACTCAAACTACAGTAGTGTTTAAAGCAGTATTACAAAGTCGATTATTTTAATATCCCACTATAGTATTAACTGAACTTAAAGGAATAGTTCACCCAAAAATTCAGACAATCTTCTGGAAGGAAGAAAGTCAGGTTTGGAACATAAATGTGTC